CCACTCAGACCACACACTAAGCTCCTCTGGAAACACCTTCACGGGCACATCTAAAGTCATGCTCTCCCAGGTTTCTAGGTATTTCTTTTCCCAGTCAAGTTCACACTAAAATCAACTTCACAAATCCACCCCTTGTCAACTTGGCACCCGCATGCATCTCCTTCAACCATACTTAATTTCCAAATAAAGGCAATAACACGGTAATAGTTCCACGTAACATGGCACAAGTGTGGTTTGCGGGATCTTAGATGCTAGAATTTTTAGATTTTGTGAATTTTAGTTTTTCGAGATTTCAACAATTGGGATTAAGGCATTCGGACTGTCTTTCGGGATTATGATCCAAATTCAAGCCAGCACATATAAGGAATATGGCAGTGTGAAAAATACGTCATTAACTGTGACCTCACTTGACTCTCATAACATTCCTCTGAGACTTGATCCTTGTTAAGTTCCTGATGTTAGTGATGGAGCCAGGGTTGAGCCACTGTGAACTAGATTACTAGCTTTCCTCTTTCTAATTGCTTCCAGTCATAGGCATTGTCCAAAGTTCTGGACTCTAGCAGACATTCCTGAGGTGCCTTTGAGATCACTACTCTGACCTTGCTCCAGTTTTTCCTTGCATTTATCCACCTGAGTTTTTTTCTGATATCTCCAATCCTGGGTACAACTGAGCTGTTCATCAGCTCCTACCACTGCCTCCTCTTTCTCCTATTTCTGATCAAGGGGCCAGCTCCCTTCCAGTCAGACAAGTCAGAGTCTCTGTCCACTTTCATTCTGAACCTTCCTTAACATTCAGCTCCGTCTCCACACCGTGTCTTGTATCCATCTCCATTCTCCTGCTCTGGGGCAGGCTACTAGGGCCAGGTACTTCTTCCATTACGACAATGTCCTAACAAACACCCCTCCAACCCATTCTGCCTGCTTCTGGGACCAGACCCACAAGACATCTGGGGCTCCACATTCACTACCGAATATCAATCCACTCTTTGTCCTAAATCCTCACTGATTTATTTTCTGATGAGTTGTAGTCATGAGCCAAATGCAATCCCCACCCCCATCCTCTGAAACCTGCTCATACCTGCAGGCCCCTTTCGGACTCTGTGTCTTCGTCAGAGGTCAGCAAACTACGGCCTGTGGTCCAAAGTGGCCTGCTGCCGAGCAAAGGATGGCTTTTGCCTGTTTAAATAGCTGAAAAAAATCAAAAGAAGAAAATCATTTTGTGACACATGAGAATTAAGTGAAATTCAAATTTCAGTGTCTATAAGCAGGGTTTTATTGGAACACAATCATGCCCGTCTGTTTACCTACTGCCTATGGCTAGTTTCATGCCACAGTGGCAGAGCTGAGGAGTCACCACAGAGAATACACAGCCCATGAACCCAAAATAGTGACCATCTGGTTCTTTACAGAAAAACATTTGCCAATTTCTAGTCTATGCTATGATCTTGCCAATCTTGATGACTACACTTGTTTTTAAAATATTTCTGATACATATTGTAAATGTTTCTCTGTTTGTCACTTCGGATGTTAACTGCTTAATGTCTATAAGTTTTTACTTTTGTGAGATCAGTTCCATCTGTGTGTGCATTTATGATTTACCCTTCCTTTTATGCTAGAAAGGTCTTGGCTGGACATGGTGGCTCATGTCTATAATCCCAGTACTTTGGGAGGCAGAGGTGGGTGGATAGCCTGAGGTTGGGAGTTTGAGACCAGCCTGACCAACATGGAGAAACCCCATCTCTACTAAAAACACAAAATTAGCTGGGTGTGGTGGTGCATGCCTGTAATCCCAGCTACTTGGGAGGCTGAAGCAGGAGAATTGCTTGAACCCAGGAAGTGGAGGTTGCAATGAGCAGAGATCACGCCATTGCACTCCAGCCTGGCCAACAAGAATGAAACTCCATCTCAAAAAAAAGAAAGAAAGAAAGGTCTTACCTGTGTTGATCACATTAAAATACTCATATTTTCTTCTTTTTTTTTTTTTTTTTTAAAGATGGGATCTCACTATGTTGCCCAAGATGGTCTTGAACTCCTGGGCTCAAGTGATCCTCCTACCTCGACCTTCCAAAGTGCTGGGATTACAGGTGTGAGCCACCACGCCCAGCCCTTCTAATTTTTTAGTGATTTATTTTCAATCTTTTAACTTTTTCCCAAATATGGGATTTCTGTTGGTGACTGCTATGAATTAAAGAAAATTAGCTTTTATTCAAATCATTATCCAATTGTTCTAGCACCATTTGTCGAATATATTTTCCTGATGATGGGAAAAACTGCCACTAAAATACACTGGGTGCCAAGTACCATGGTTCACACCTATAGTCCCAGCTATTCAGGAGGCTGAGGCTGGAGGATCACTTGAGCCCAGGAGTTCAAGGCTGCAGTGAGCTAAGATCACACCACTGCCCTCCAGCCTGGACAACAGAGCAAGTGCCTGTCACTAAAACAATAAAATGCAACAAAATGAAATAAAATAAAATACACTAAGTGCTTTGGGGCTTGCCTGTCCCTGGACTCTCAATTTGTAACCACCTGACAAGTTCTCCTTGCCCACTGTCTAGACAGAGCCAATTTATCAAGACAGGGGAATTGCAATAGAGAAAGAGTTAAATTCACACAGAGCCAGCTGTACAGGAGACCGGAGATTTATTATGACTCAAATCACTTTCCTCAAAGACTTGGAGGTTGTGGGTTTTTCAAAGATAGTTTGGTGGACAAGAGGGTAGGGTAGGAGACATGCCGATTGGTTGAGTTGGAGCTGAAATCATAGGGAATTGAATCTGTCTTATGTTGAGTCAGTTCCTGCGTGAGGGCCACAGGACTGGTTGGCAGGTCCAGGTTGGTCCATCCAGTTGCCAGAAATGCAAAAACCTAAAAAGACATCTCAAAAGGCCAGTCTTAGGTTCTACAATAGTTATGCTATCGTCAAGAGTAATTGAGGCTGGGTGCTGTGGCTTACACCTGTAATCCCAGCGCTCTCGGAGGCCAAGGCAGGCGGATCACTTGACACCAGGAGTTCGAGACCAGACTGGCCAACATGGTGAAACCCTGTCTCTACTAAAAATACAAAAATTAGCTGGATATGGTGGCACACACCTATGGTCCCAGCTACTCAGGAGGCTGAGGCGTGAGAGTCGCTTGAATGAGGGGAGGCTGAAGTTGCAGTGAGGCAAGATTGCATCACTGCCTTCCAGCTTAGGCAACAGAACAAGACTCACTCAAAAGAAAAATAAAAAGTAATTGGGCAAGTTACGAATCTTATGACCTCCAGAATAATGGCTGGTAATTATTTAGAATTCAAGCCCCTCTCAACCTAACTTGGTGGCTTTTCATTAGTTTTACAACAATTTAGTTTGGGGGAAGGGCTCTTATCATTTAAGCTATAAACCAAATTTCTCCCAAAGAAATTTGGCTTGACTCACGCCTGGGAATAAGCAAAGACAGTCAACCCGTGAAGCCAGAAGCAAGATGGAGTCGGCCATGTCAGATTTCTCTCACTGTCGTCATAACTTTCTCAGTTATAATTTTTCTGCAAAGACAATTTTATATTCTGTGCCACTACTCTATGGCAGTTCTACATGTTTTAAATATAGTCGCATTAGATATTTTAATACCTGCTTAAGAATTCCCTTTATTGCTCCACGTTTCAAATTATACTTAACATTTTCCTCCGTTCTTTCTCTTAGGTGAAGTTTAGAGGTGCAAAACAACTGTTTGCGGTTTTGATTAATTACATGTTAATTTTAGAAGAACTGCCATCCAAACTTTATATAGTTTACATAGATTCTCCAAAGCTAGGCATATACTAACACAATTAATGTCCCAATAATCCTATTAGGTAAATACAATTATTAATTCCCATTTTACAGATGAGGGATCTAAGTTACCACAGTACTACTGTTCAATATCACAGACCTCACAGGTTAAGAGGCACAGATTCCATTAATACTGCTCTCACTTTAGATGCCAGTCACAAGTTCAGTGGGCCCCAGGCCACCCATACTTCTGACCAACTGAATACAAATTCAGGGGTTCCCACAACCTTCTCAGGTTTGATAATGTACTATGATTACTCATAAAACTCAGGAGTACACTATATTTGTAATTACAGTTTTATTGTAAGTATACAAGTTAGGACCAGTCACATGAAAAGACCATAGAGTAAGATCTGGAAGGGTCCAGAATGCAGAGCTTTTGTGCCCTCTCCCCGTGGAATTAGGATGTGCTACCTTTCAGCACATGGATGTGTTCACTGTCCAGGAAACTCCACCAAGCTTCAGTGTCCAGAGATTTTATTGGGATTTCCTTACATGGCATGATTGATGGACCCATTGGTGATATGATTAAACGAAATCTCTAGCCTCCCAAATCTCCCCAGAAGAGGTCAAACAGATATCACCCCACTCACGCTTGGTGTTTCTGACACGACCAGCTCCCAACCTGAGTCATCTCACTAGCATTAATTTAGGTATGGTCCAAAGAGCTCATGAATAACAAGGGCATTTTTATTGCTCAGGAAACCAAAGGATTTAGAATCTTTCTTTTAGCAGTCAGGTGCAATGGTCAGTCAAATTCTTTATTCTAACAAATGGGCACAAAAAGATTAGTCACTTTCCCAAGGTCACATAGTAAGTGATTGAGATGGCTTCACATTCAAGAAATGTGATCCAGAGCTCACTTTTTTTTTTTTTTTTAGATGGAGTCTAGCTTTGTCACCCAAGCTTGAGTGCAGTGGCATGATCTTGGCTCACTGGAAATTCCGAGGCTGTTCAAGCGATTCTCCTGCCTCAGCCTCCCAAGTAGCTAGGATTACAGGTGCCCACCACCATGCCTGGCTAGTTTTTGTATTTTAGTAGACACGGGGTTTCACCTTGGTGGCTGGGCTGGTCTCAAACTCCTGACCCCAGGTGATCCACCCACCCCGGCCTCCCAAAGTGCTGGGATTACAGGTGTGAGCCACCATGCAGCCACACTTTTTTATTTGCTAAAAAAAAAAAAAAAAAAAAGGCATGGAATGCTTCACGAATCTGTGTGTCATCCTTGCCACAAATGCTAATCTTCTCTGTAGCATTCCAATTTTAGTATACATGCTGCTGAAGCGAGCACACATTATGCACTTAGGACACACATACAAAGTGGTAGGTGCCCAAGGCCCAAGCTTAATTTGTACAATCGCTAGTTAAAGACAACCCAAGAAACATGCAGCCACCAGAAAAGTGCTGTGATAACGCTAGAATCAGGCGATCAACATCCTCCTAGGCCAGGAAAACATGAAACAAATGTGGGAGGTCCACTGGAATCCTCTAGACCCAGAAACAAGTAAAATAATGACACTTTTTTTTTTTTTTTTTTTTTTTTGAGACAGAGTCTTGCTCTGTCACCAGGCTGGAGTGCAGTGGTGCAATCTGGGCTCACTGCAACCTCCGCCTCCTGGGTTCAAGTGATTCTTCCGCCTCAACCTCCCGAGTAGCTGGGACCACAGGTACATGCCACCACACCCAGCTAATTTTTTTGTATTTTCAGGAGAGATGGGGTTTCACCGTATTGGCCAGGATGGTCTCAATCTCTTGATCTCGAGATCTGCCCGCCTCGACCTCCCAAAGTGCTGGGATTACAGGCATGAGCCACCTCGCCTGGCCCATAATGACAATTTTTAATTAGCAAAATGTTTGATTTAAACTGGGCCTTAAAGTTCTGAATACAGTGCTTTAACTCCAAGTCTCTATTCTGAAATATTTCAGAGTCCTCAGATATTTATAAAATATTTGCATGAAGTGTTTGAGACCAGTGGTTCTCAAATATCAATTCTTAAATCAATACCAAACCTTGCTAAATTTTTCACCCCTTTGTAACAAAATTATAAAAATAAGAAAGATATAATGATCATTCCATGAAGCTAAATATTCAATTAAAAGGATTGTCCTTTTTTTCTCTTTCAGGAAAAACAAACAAACACACAAACAAACACTTTCTCTTTCGCTTTCGGAGCTTCCCTACACATGCTCTTTGGAAGTTATTGTCCTTTAGAGGTAAGAGGATGCCAAATATAGATGCTTTTTTTTTTTTTAATATTAGCAAAAGAAAAAGCTGGCAACCATGCATTGCCTATTTATTTATTCTGGATTTTATTAGGGTTTTTTGATAATTTGATTGTTCTCTTGTTTAGTTTTATAATTCATAAAAATCTTGATCCAGGTGAGGTGTGGAAAAAATTAAAAATTAAAATGTAAAAATCTTGGGAGCCCTACAGTTCGGTTCACAAGCTGCAGGTGCCTCTTTGTCCACCAGATGGCAGGGCAGCTCTGCAGGTAACTTCTGGCGCCGCCTGCTGTTGCCTCTGTCTTTGCCCGGGGCAAGAAGCGCAAGTTCATCTTTCAGACAATACCTTCCGTCCTGTCTTTAGGATTTTCCCCCAGATAATATTTGCAGTAGAATTATTTTACATCTCAGCCTAGAAATGCATTTCCGCAAGAGTATTGTGTGAAGGCTTGCCGGGTTTTTTATTATTGTTCCCTATAAATCTTTATTAAGAAAAATTTAACAAAGCCCTAACCCAGCAGTTCAGAGGTACAGAAAGTGGATGTGAGGAAAGACGGAACTGATCCTAAATGTTTATTCCTCTCCTAAATCACCACTGACAGCGACAAACACACACACACACACACACTCACGACGCTCAGAATGCGTAGGGACAGAGACACAGGGCGCAGGACAGGAAGGAAAGGGTAGTTACAGACTGGCCGGGAGGAACATGGTTCCTTAGGTCTGGAAAATAGCAGTATTGCCGCAGAGTAAAAACAAAGACGCGCGCCATACTGCCACCCAGTGGTGTGAACTGTTTCTTTCCAGACTCATGCAAGTAAGACCCTTCTTTTTATGCTTCTGATGGTGGCTGAGATCCTGCTCTCAAAGAACTACATTACACACTAGGCTTGCTCCTACTAGTACCTGACACGCGTGTCAGGCCCAACCTGGTGCTCGGTGTATTCACTGACCTTAGTCGGAAGCACAGCCTTGTCCTGATGTACAGCATGTGAGGACTTGCTCTCCAAACTTACCATCTTACAGCTCCAGTTAATATCACAGCAGACCATTCATGCGCCTAGGAATTACCCTAGGGCTCTGCTATGATTTGGGCAAGAGACTCATAATTACCTTACTTCACTGGCTGCATAAAAAGTCCCAAATATTCCTGCCATCACTTCCTTGTCTTGGCCTCTGGGACACGAGCACAGAGCCTAGGAAAGGACCCAGGGACACCTCTAGCTGCAGATAAAGGGAATATCGAGGGGCTGTGTTTCCTCCTGCCTCCTCAGCTTGGCCTAGGGACATTTTCAGAGTAACTGAGCTAAGCTGCAGCATCCTCCTCTTCTCTTCTGATATGGTTAGGCTTTGTGTCCCCACCCAAACCTCATCTTTTCTTTTTTGTTCTTTTCAGCCACTCAGAGAGATATGTATATAACCTCTCTCCTTTTTTAATTTGTATTTTAATTTAAGTTCTGAGATGCATGTGCAGAACGTGCAGGTTTGTTACATAGATATACATGTACCATGGCAGTTTGCTGCACCTATCAACCCGTCAACTAGGTTTTAAGCCCTGCATGCATTGAGTATTTGTCCTAATGCTCTCCCTGCTCTTGTCCCCCACCCTCTGACAGGCCCCTGTGTGGGATGGTCCCCTCTCTGTGTCCATGTGTTCTCATAATTCAACTCCCACTTATGAGTGAGAACATGAGGTGTTTGGTTTTCTGTTCCTGTGTTAGTTTGCTGAGAATGATGATTTCTAACTTCATCCATGTCCTGCAAAGGGCATGAACTCATTCTTTTTTATGGCTGCATAGTATTTCATGGTGTATATGTGCCACGTTTTCTTTAGCCACTCTATCATTGATGGGCATTTGAGTTGGTTCCAAGTCTTTGCTATTGTAGATAGTGCTGCAATAAAAATACACGTGTATATGTCTTTACAGTAGAATGATTTATAATCCTTTGGGTATATACCCAGTAATGGGATTGCTGGGTCAAATGGTATTTCTGGTTCTAGACCCTTGAGGAATCGCCACACTGTCTTCCACAATGGTTGAACTAATTCACACTCCCACTAACAGTGTAAAAGCGTTCCTGTTCTCCACAGCCTCACGAACATCTGTTGTTTCCTGACTTTTTAATGATTGCCTTTCTAACTGGCATGAGATAGTATCTCATTGTGGTTTTGATTTGCATTTCTTTAATGACCAGTGATGATGAGCTTTTTTTCATATGGTTGTTGGCCACATAAATGTCTTCTTTTGAGAAATTACCCAGTCTCAGGCAGTTCTTTATCATTGGGAAAATGGACTAATGCACCTTCCTCTTGTGTTTTTCTTCTGCTTCCCAGAGCACCTCTCTTCTAAACTGGGGAATTTGACAACCTGAGTTCAATTTAGATGATCTCCCTCGCTAGCTGGATGACATTATACATG